CTGATTATGTAAAAACATATATACATCACTATATTAAATGTTCTCAGAAATGCAAAGAAAAGAAAAGAACTCGAATCCGAATTTTTTTTAACCACTGTGTACAATATTGAGCTATTTTGTAGAATTATTACTTCAATTACTTGAAAAACATTGAGAAACAAAAAAATTACAAATCCATAAATCATAAAGATTGCAAGTTGTTTTAAATATCAAAGATAGGATTTGAAGGGGGGATTTTAATAAAAAAATGTGATTGCTGCAATTCTTTTTGTAAAAAAAAAATGATTCATCAAATTCTAATTACTTTTATGTCATAGAAAATCTCATAATATATGAATATAAATGTAGATCGCTCTATTGAATTTAGATACTTTATACTGATTATTATTATTCATAATAATATTTTTAAATGCATTTATCTTCTTATTTATACATCTAATCTTGAACCCTATAATCACTTATTCATTACTTTTTGTCTCATCGCTGGCATTTCTTCATCTTTGAAATCTTCAGGACCGTCACCGACTTCGTATCCAATATTATTTTTAGTCTGAATTGGTCCTTCATCCACAATTTCATCTCAATCACTAACTTCCTTTGAATCCTATCTTCAATATTTAGAACAACTACTATTTTCACATGTTCCTTCCAATCTTTATGTAATTAAAATGTGAATTTCACGAAATAGCTAAAATTGTACATAGTGAATTAAAAGAAAATCGGATTCGATTTTTTTTCTTTTCTTTGCATTACTGAGAAAATTCAATGAAGTGATGTATTCATTATTTCACATCAGGAAGAACAGATTTCAACGAACAAAAAACGCCCCTAGTTTTTCTAAAAAGCTGATATTTTGACGTGAGAATTTTCGATTTGAAGATTAGGGTGTTTTTTCGATATTAAGTCAAAATAAGGTGAAAAAAATAGACATTTCAAATCGAAAAAATTACAGTGTCTTAAGGACATAGGAAGGTAAGTTTTCCTCAAATTTCGTGGAAAAAAAGTTTTTTTTGCATGAGAAAAATAAAAAACCAAAAACTTGATTATTTGAATCTTTCACATAAATTTTGAGGTTATGTGAAAAAAGTCTTATCACAAAAGTTGTAGGTCTCTTCATTACCTACAACTTTATCATTCAATATTTCTCCATAGGACTTGTGGTTTTGCCGGAAATCGAGATACACCGTTTTTTACCCTTAAAACTCACCCCCTTCCACTTCCCGACTTTATATCGCCCGTAAATTGTTTTTCCTTTCATTTTTGTTATATTCTTGTACTTTCTCAACGGGTTTCATCCTACTATTAATTTTTTTTTTTCAAAAATTATCGACCCTGGTCTAATATAATAATGAAGTTTTTCGAGATTTGCTTTTGAAATATCAATATTTATATTCAAAACTTTTTCAAGAGAAATTCGTTAGTGAATTCTGATATTGAGATAATTCAAAATTATAATTCTGTTAATCAAATAGCTATCACATGTTCTATGGAATATTTTGATGAAGCATCAGCAACTAAATACTTACAGTTAATTACGAATCTATTTGGATACAACGAGCATTGGGGGAACGGAGCAAAGCTAGCTTTTTTTGGTTCACTTTTGGAACCTTCTCAGCAAAATTCGTTCAAAAAATGTAAAATAATGTTCATAACTCAATATGGTTAGAAATTGAAAACTTATGTGCAAAAATGCACTTGTGTTGTGGGCTATTGCAAATAAAATTTCATTTTGGTAATTTTACAATAAATATTTGTCCATTCGGGCAGTTAGACGTTAATATTTATGTAAAATACACTAACGGGTAGACAAATGAGTCCTGTCTACCTGGGGTGGCTAAAAAGTTGAATTCAAATATTGCTTTCGCAAAAAGAACGCATCAAGGAAATGATAATGCGAACGTTTTACGAATTCAATTTTCGATTTGGGCTATTGTAAATTTTTTCATGCGATAATTACCTTTAGTAATTACTGTGGGCAAAATGTTTTGAAGCACTTCGTGCAACCGGGCTATTTCATTGATTTGTTGTGTTTTTACATGTTGTCTTGATCAGGAGAACATGTTCATTGTGGCCTGAGCCATCGTCACTTCTAGTATTTGATTGCATAAAAGTCGACAATGTCATTTCAAAGAGCTTAATGGCCCCTTGAGAAACACTGCCGAAAAATTACACCCAAGGGGGCTGCCAAGGATTTGGTTAACGTCATATATTGATTTTGAATAGCTTTGATACAATGAATACCATGGCTGCCCTGATTGAAAGTTCCATTCTTGAATCGAATAATCGAAAGTTGGCGAATTTCAGTAACGTAGATTATTTTTTCCAAACAAATTAGACGTTTCTTATATTATTATACAGATGGCAATGAGTGTTTTGAATGAACTTTTATGCACTATCAAGGAATTTTACACATTGTGTAAAATGTCTATATATTCGTGTCACTTTTTGGGGAAGTTTGCATCAGCATTGTTTGCTGTTCACACTATTGTATTTTTTCATCAACTATTGACTATATATGGCTATTTATATATTTATATGGAAAGAAATGATGTTTTCTGATTGAAACCAATTCACGATATCATTTTGGAACTATTTACACTGAAAGAAACTTCATTTCAAATTTTAGTTTTTAGTTTGATGAAGAATTTTGAATGAAAAATTGTGTCCCAATTTTGTGAAATGATCTCAATGAATTTAGATATGCTTATGTACACAGGCTCTTATTTCATACATATTTACAAACCATAAAACCACATTTTCATTGAAATTTCTGTTGAAATTAAAAAGATTTTTGAATTTCAGCTAAAATTATTCAAGGGTTTCTGAGAATGTACGAAATAAACTTTGTTCCTCCACAATCACTCTACATTCATACTGATATAGTCTAAAAAATCTGAAATAATCATTAAGTATTTGTACTCCTCAATAAAATAGATAAAGCCGATTTTTCTTTTTTCATAAAAAAATTAAAATAAGATTTATATTGTAAAATCACAGTATAAATTGCAAGAAATTATTACGTTATTGCTAGGTATGTTACAACAAACCGGCCAAATAAAAAAAATCACAGAAAAAACAATAAGAACAATCTTCGAGAAATTATAATTTACATTTTTCAGGAAAGATTATTTTGAAAATCACTTTTATATCATTCATTCAAGTTATATCTAAAACATTAGTTATATTATTTACAACTTAAATTTAAGTAGTTCTAGAATATCCAAACAAGTTCAGATAGTCTTTCATAACACTTATAACTATACATTATTTAATGATTTTGTAGTGGTACACTTTTGAAGTGCATTATTAAATTTATAATTATGGCTTAGCCATTAAAATTTTCGTACTGAGCGCATCAAACGCAATATAAAAAAAATATATTTGGCACACTCTCGAACAATGAAGTAAGCAAAACAAAAAATGGAACAAAACAGTCAAGTAAGCTGGAAAGTCATGGAAGGTTTTTTGCCAGCCATAGCTAATTTTCAATCATCATCAAATATTTAACGTAGTTAATCATTTCTGTTGAAAGTTTAGTGCGCGCCTCTAAAAATTGAACTCTGACTAACTCTCAGTTTTTAGAGATACGAAAATTCGTTAAATCAATTGATCTAATTTGAAAATTGTGAAGATGTTGCACTAGTTGCACATTTGAATGAATATCGTTTGAGCTATTGATGATCTAAGTTAGTGAAATACACTGCTTTATACTTAGTTTTTCGATATAACATGATTATAGTACAGTATAGTTAAATCACGATATCTGAGATATTCATTCCAAAGTCCACTATTCCTTACTATCATAATTTTGATAGCGAGTGATGATCTATAAAATGTTATTTTGCTTGAGTTTGATCGTTAATAAAAGCATATCAGATGTTATTTGAATAAGAAAAAAGACTCCATCGAACTGTTGAAAACCATTAATTTTGAAAAACCCAAACTGATTTTCATTTCGTAGAATTAAATTGTTAGTCCTATTTATATCAGAAAGCGCCCACTATACGTATCCCTATAGTTATTATTCAATGGTTGGTATTCTGTATAATTCATCAAATTCATTCATAGAGTCACAGAAATGTTGTTTCCAAGAGTAATGCGATTTCATCCTGGGAGAAGATATAAGATTTATGAAGAATATAAAATTGATTCTTCAACTTCAAAAATCTTCACAAATAATACGAATATTTCCATAACGATGTCGTTCCGAACAATTTGACGATAGGTATACAGATATCAAACTGAATATATACCTACTTAATTTATTTTGAATTTATACCAATATCATTCGAGCATTTCTTTTAATATACGGATATGTTCAGCATTTTTTTTATAATACTTAATTTATAATAATAATTTCAACTCCTAGTGTTCTGATGAAAATTACACAAATATTCTAACTTTCCAATCAATTCGATATAGGTCATCCCAAAAAGAGGTTGATGTTATTGGTTTTTAGTGATTGCTAACATCATCAAAATTTCATATTCGTGAAAGCTAGACACAAAATATTCATATTCCAAATTTGGTAAACACTACATGGAAATTCTTGCATTATTCAGAATTACATCAGCTTTCACATAATGAAAATGCATTATCAACACTGAGTCGCAAAAAATTTATGAAAACATTTCCTAATAACTATAAGGGTGAATGTACCATGAGATGTGAGCTGGCTGCATATCATATAATATCTCATACTTTCCAGCTTACTGACCATCAGTTTAAATTATTATATGCTGGAAAAACATCTGGTATTCCCGAAAGTTTGAAAAAATCCAAGGAAAGCCAACATTTTGTACTCTTTTCCAGATAGGTAAGGAAAAAGACAGAACGGTCACACGCTAAAAGGTGCTCTAAAGAGAAAAAAAAAATCAAAATATTCCGTTTTGTTCAATTTCATAGTCTATCGAGACCACCAGTCTTTCACAAGGGGAGTTTTGAAAATAAAAATATAGCTATAATTTTTACGTTACATGCGTTCAGTAGTAGCTGAAATTTCATGGTTGTTGATTCTGTTGTTGACTGGATAAGGAGAATCCCAAGGACCTTGGGTCGCTTCCGTGTAGCCTCAAAGCCTGCTCTAAGCGTTGTTCTTGCAGTCTCAATGCTTCGGTTAAGTCAGGACTCAGTTGCTGCGAAGACTGACCTTGATGGCCTTGGTAGTTGCCTGAAACAGAATAGGATTTGAATATTTCGACACTAAAGGGAATGCTTCGGTTTTGATTTGAACACGTGAAAGTTACGACTAAAACTTCGTGGCGAAGAACTGCCTAGATACTTTCTCCATATTTCAATTGGAAACATGTGCTGTTATACAACTTGTTCTTGTAAGGAACCTTCCGGAAGCTTTCTTGTTATTCACCTCAACGTGTTTATATGTTAATTTTTCTGAGACCCAGAACTTTCCAAGTCTGATTTGAAGACAAAATAAGCGATCTGGAGTCAAGCCTATTGAAGCTGGTGCCTCCGGGTCAGCTTCATCGCTAGTGATGGCTATTCTATCGTAGTCAATTCTCAAACATATGACTTTCTGAAAAGGGAGAACAAGTTTCCGTGGATGGTCATGAAAAGAAAAAGTCCTAATGATGAATGATTCAACCAGGTTCTAAACAGGTTTTTGGTTCTGAAGCTCAAGACAAATATCTAAGTATAAAATATGTGGCCATGGACCCCATTTTGCTATAGGTATTATTTATGCAGTCTAGAGTCATTCAGGTGATTTTCATATCACATATTTCGAAAACAAGGCAGAGACGCGTTCAGCAGTCCAAGAATATTCATATTCTTGAACAATAGGTATAAAAAAAAAGAAAACCATAACTATAACTGATGTCCTGATGACAATATCGTTAGCTACTCATATTTATATCTGAAACTATGTAGGGAACGTCGGCAAGATGTAAGCAGACTGATAGTTGTTGGATAGCAATGTAAAAAGTTGGTGAATTGAGCTTCACGTTGTAGAGAGAGTACAATAGACGATGGAAAGGAATAAAGACAGCTAATTTTTTTATTTGGTCGAACGGAGAAATGTAAGACTTTGGAGGGACGTCTGAAGACCTCCAGTATTATTGCTTATGCTTATGGATAGTCATTTGTCTTGAAAAAATGGCTTCCTTTTGCGCTATGGAAACATATATAGATTATCTACAATATTGTTCATTGATACGTATATGAGGTATATTTCATTCACATCACTCCTTAGATCCGGCTATAGTATTTTGGTGAAGGTGGTGGGATGCAGCTACGTCATAATGCCGTCAACCTTAACCATTTTTGAAGTCCTATTTCTTGCACTCTACCCAGTTCACCCAGTTATTACCTCACTGTTTAACTTTGAATCCATAAGAAAAAAGAGTTGTTGTGTTATCTATTATTTATTGTTGATGTGTAAACCTGAAATTGATCATGTCTCCCAAAATAACAAATTAATAAATTAAGTTGTGTGATACCATGTTGTTCATGATGAATGATTTGACATCTGTTTTGTTAGGAGGAAAATATATAGGTATTACTTCATTTGATTAAAGATATCGAATCATTAGAATATTGGCACAATAACTTATCTAAGAGTTATCAGGTGTCATAATTTCAGGAATTCTCGTTTATTTGGATAGATCATTACCTAGAAACAGATTTCTATCGCATATATACATAGATCCTGAATATACTGTTTAATGCGCTTGTCATCTGGAAACATAAAATTACTTAAATAAATCTTTACTTTCCAATTCTCTACCCTACCATTTCGCAACCTTTGTACATTTGCTCTCATACTTCGATATCCACGCTATTGATTTATAATTTGAGTGTTTCCATAATATATCCTCCATCATTCACTCTGTAAACAAATCTTGTGAAGTGATTCTTTCCTGAATGCCTATGGATTTCGATATTTTCTACTCCGATGGCGTTGCTTTGATATTGTATATGAAAGTCGCCTCTGGGGGAATATAATGCCTACTTGAGTTGTGTTTGGCTAGGCTACGCTTATAGTCGGCGGTCGTAGGTGTCTAGCGTGGACTCGCTAAATCGAAATCAATAGGCATTCAGGAAAGAATCCCTTGTATCTAGATACATTTCGGGAGGATGTAATTCAATGTTCTGCGTGGCATTAGCCAGGAAAATAGTTTTTCTCTACCATTGTTGCTCATTTTATGAAAATTCTGTGGATATGACTTTGGGCTTTTTGTATTTATTTAACAATGAAATGGAATTATCAAAGGCTTCAACTATCACGTGTAATGTGAATGAAATATCCCTATGGGCAGTGCTGCGGACTCAGCCATTTTATGGCTAGTTCTAGCCATTTTCGCACTGATCTAGCTACTAAAAATGTCATCTAGCCATTCAGCAATTTTAGGTAGCAATGTTTTATTCTGAATTTCTATAAAAATATTTTCATTTTCATATCATTCCCATTGAGAGTTCATTATATTCACGATCTAGTCTTTCTGAGATTTTGACAAATTGGGTGCGTTTTTCATTAAAAAATCTTGTCATGCGCATGAATCGAATAAAACATTAACGTTGATGTTCATGACGTTAACGCATCACGTCATACGTCAACGTCAATACTACTAGAGTCAGTAGTCTTGCTCTGGATCTATGCTCTAGACTAGACATAGGAGGCTAAATGGAGGCAATAGTCCAAATTCAACTGTTCAATACTGCGTGTTCCGAAATATAAAATCAAAAGTACAGTACTGTAATTTGGAACACGTTTTCATGGTTCTCATCAGTAATCAGCAGCAGTTGATCAGCTGGTGAAAGTTGAACATTATTCTCAGCGTCCATTATTTGAATAAAGAAAAACATGCATTATCTGATATTAAAAATGATATCATCAAGTTATTATTGACAAGACTAGACTCAATGTCTAAAAACGACGGAAATAATGTGATAAATTTGACATTCCATCCCCCTCTGAAATAATGACAGTTCATTGAAGCCACACTACCTCTTGATAGTCAACAGTTTCAGCAGAAAGTTGGGTCAAATTATTTGAAATGAATAGTATATGTCTGCTCACAAGTATATGTCACTTTCATTGAAGTTTTTGATTTCGGAATGAAAAATCAACAGATTAAGTACTGTCAGTTGAATTCGGAATATAGCCTAGAACTTTAAATTGACATACTATCAGATAGTTATTGTGGCATCATGTTGATTGTATGATTAATTCTTCTTTATGCACCTGTCCAATTTGACTATGACGTGTAATGTGAATGAAATATCCCTATGGACACACTCTGTCACACTCACCATTATGACGCAAGGGACTGTGGCCGCTCTCCTGCTGGTTGAGCTGCGGCAGCGCCTGGCTCATGGCCAGCCGCAGCGCCGTCTCCGCCTGCGACCGGATCAGCGCCTCGGCGTGCTGCATCCGCAGCGCCTCCTGCTGCTGCTGCGCCTGCTGCGACGACGACATGTCCATCACGGAGGAGCGCATCGCGTCCATGTTGCGGATGCTGTCCATGGAGGCGCGCATCGCGTTCATCGCGTTCATGGAGAGGGAGAGGGTGTCGTTGGTGATCGGCGGGGTGGAGGGGTTGCTCGAGTTGTTCACTTGGTTGGCCTGCAAAGATGAAATCATTATAGTATGTAACGCAACAATAAGTGTATTGATGGTTGTCGAAATACAAATCCTTTCGATCTTGAGAAACAAATTATGTTGCTTGGAAACCACACGAGCGCATAGCATAGCCTGAACCAATTCTCGATCAGGCTATGACATTCTCAGAAGTTTTAACCACTACTGAATTTTTTTACTATCAATATTGCATTATAATCACATAGTTTTAGTGGCTAGTATATACCAGGTGTAACACGATCTTGGACACCAAACCATTTTGATTTTTTTTATGTTCTGGTTCCCACGGGAAGGGAACTCCTGTAATGTTCAGAGAACATCGTGAGAACAAAGGGTAGGATTTGGTGTTCTTCTTAAATTTATGGAGGTTATATGCCTCGGGGAACACCTCCCTTGGCAATGTGTTCCAGAGCCTCGCTGTTCGTTGGATAAACGAGTCTTTGGAAAGAGATGTTGTGCAGGTCTCCCAAAGTGACCACAAAGGGGCACCCCTTTGTGGTTTGAAGCCTCAACTCGACGGGTTAATCTCGCGAGGACTGCCAAGGGAGGAACAATCGTTGATATTTCAGAAGAGCATCGTCCATAAAAATATCTATAAAATAGAGCCAGATCGCCAAATTTTTCACGGTGTTCCAGAGAAGTGAGTGAGTTTGTATTTTGTAAGCGAGGCATCACCCACGAGACGAATTGGCCTTTTTTGGACAGAATCCAACAGTTCCAGGGTATGTTTGGGTGCTGCACTCCAAATATGGAAACAGTATTCCAGGACAGCAGCTGACTGGTAGTGAAATAGCTCCTGGCCCGAAACAGAAAACCAAGGTATGATTACTCCTGATAAGTTTATGTTGGGCACAGTGAGACCGGCTTTTCTAGAGAAAAGGCATGCTTGTGTTTTGTGTGCATTGAAATCTACCGAGTTATTGGATCCCCATTCGAGAATTTGCTAGTAAATCAAGACATTTTACATTTTTGACAGCATTAAAATTTTTCAGCAATACACCTATCAACATGAGTGCATCAGACTCGATCAGAATAGTCATGGCACACTCAGATAGAAAATAAAAAATGAAATCAAAATCATATTTGAAGTTTGAAATGTCACTTATGTGGTATCATCGAATTCAGAAAATGATTCAGAATTCAAAAATGCAATAATATATAGGGTGTTTCATATGAAAATCAAAACTAGTTACCACCTCCGGTGAAACTGGAAGTGGAAAATAAAACCTATTTATGTCAAATTGGTGGGTCATTCCAAATTTATAGCAACTGTAAAACTAGAGGAAAAAAGGGGGTGTACCATTATCTGTTACACCTGTGTAAGGAAAAGCGACAATATTATTCACATTCCCGTGTCTAACTATTATTTTTCAAAGTAAAACCATTTTTTGACAAACGCTTTCCAAAAAAAAAAGATTTTTCGACGATCTAACGACAATGACACTAATATATTTGCGATTGGATTGAAAATAAGAACATAAATTCGATATTACGTATTGAGGAAAATACTGGATATTCATTCATTCGCCCTTGTCAAGTGTGCAATAAATAGCCATATGATGCAAAATATTTCTCATCTCTTTCGAGAGTCATCTCTTTGGAAAACAAAACACTCCACTCCACTCTTCACATTGATTTAACATTTTTTTGACAAAAAAAATTCAACTGATATTCAAGGAGAATGAAGAATATCTCACGGTCTGCTCATGAGGCTTATTTTCAATCCAGTCGCAAATCGTTAGATTCGGCAAAACATTTTTTTTTTCTGAAAGTGCTTGTCAAATAATGGCTGCCATGTGAAAAATAATAGTTAGACACGGAAAGACATATTTGCAAAATTTTCTTCTTCCTATCTATCAGACTAGCCACCTAAATGCCTTATTAAAAGGGACTCTAAAAAATAAGTAGGCGTAAATACCTCTAGGAATATAGTATTCTGATCCAGAATTGTCTCAAAACTGTTATAATATACAGGATGTTCCACTTATAATATCAAAACCGCAGCAATTTTCGGTGAGATCGGAAGTGAGCGGAAAATGAAAAATAAGCGAAAACTTTCCTCTTCGCCTACCATAATACCATAATAAATTCCATTTCGATTCGTTGACACTCGGTATATGCATATCGTAGCACGTTTTCAACCTCATAAGGGAATTCATCACATATATACCGGGTGTAACACGATCATGGTACACGGTACACTGATCCCACATTTCAAACTCCAATATTGATTTTGATGTCATTTGTGATTTTCCATCCGAGTGAGCCATGACTATTCTGATCAAGTCCGATGTACTCATATCGACAGATATAATGCAAAAAAAAAATGGAATCCTGTCAGAAATGTCAAATTTCTTCATTTCATTTCATAATCATAGTTCATCATAATGGTTTGGTGCACCATGATCCTGTCATACCCGGAATAGGTAATACTCGGTCCAATGTGCAAAGTTTATATCAGCAAAACTGCAATTACCTTTGAAAATAAACGAATTTTATTCGAATCTCTGGAAGAAGTCCATGGTAACTCAAAGTGGAATGGTGTAGTTCATAGATGAAAACCCAAAGTCATCTCCACATCATTTATTAGAATGATCAAAGATCAATTGATGAGTGAAAGTAACAAAGGTGCTAAGAGCCAGTGAATTGCTGTATTGTAGAATTATTAGACACCTCGTTCTTTTGTCATTTTTTTTATTATTGAGATCAATGTCAGTTTGACTATTGCCTATATATCCTTAATTCCAAATTTGAAAAACTCCAAATTATATCAGCAATACTTCCTGATCCTATTTTGTTGAAAAACATGTGGCACTTACCTCGTTTCAATTTTTTTTAAGAAATAATTTTCATTTTCATCTGTGTTTCATAACAGATATCGGTGTTAGTTAGAATGGGTTTTCCGTTGACCTTTTATACGATTTTTGATGCTAATAAACGAAAAAAACAAATATTGACATTTTTATTACTTTTTTCTCAAATATCTCGAAACTTTATTTTTGGCACTTAGCACCTATGTTACTTCCTCTCTTCAATTGTAAAGGAACATGTTTCGGGCTCATATAAGCCTATCATCAGCCACTAGAGAGTATCATAGTTATGGAAATGAAAAAAGTAGACATAAAGATACTATAGTTAATAACAGTGCAAACAGGGAAATATGCTCCATGATATTGTCACTGTAAAATGATATAAAATTATGTTATATATAAATTCATTATGTTATAAATTTATCAATTGAGGGTCGGGATCATATTTTGAAAGGGCACACGTGTCCTTGAATTACCGAAAGGTGATAATTAAACCTATAGAAAAATCAAACTGAAAAGTTTGATGAGGCATCAAAATTAACCTGATAAAGTGAAATGAGGTTTTCGTCTATGAATATTATTTTGATAGGATACATATAGGTTTTATGTGAATTATTGTGTTCAAATTTCAGCTTCTGTGAGGGTCATCGAATGGTGGATGCAGAAGCCTACACTTTCTATTCATAATGAGTAATAAACAAAAATGTGAATAATGATCAATTATTTACCTGTGTCACCCCTAGTCGCATCGCTAAGTTGGCAAGATTGGCAGCAGTTATGTTTGCGGCAGCTTGGGGATCCGAACCTATGCCAGGAGGCACTCCGCCTTGTCCGACCATGTTCGCTAGCACCGCCATTCGATTCGCCGTATGGAGTTGGTCTTCAACGTTGTATTGTTGGTGGAGTCCATTGTTACCTGAAATAATATGTTGCTTCAATATCCTGAACCATTTCAACAAGGAGATTTATAAACAGCAGCCGATTGAACACTTTTGCATCTTCGAATAAACTGTGTACTGAAGAGTACAGGGTGTCTGGAATTCGAGGTTCATCATTGCACGAAAAAAAAAGGATTTGTTGCGTCAACAAATTATTCATGCTTGAATTATTTTTGTTGGACTGAGCAATTTTTTGTTGACTCAACCAGATACATGATTATTTCATGGAAGAAGCTTGTTCAAATCAAGATTGTAGTCTAATTGAATCAACAGTATAATATCAATTCCATAAACAAAATTCATGGTTTTCTCAAAAACAAAATATGTCGATTCAAAATGATGTCGATGTTGATTCAACTATAAACATTTTGTTCATTTGACGAAATAATGTACATTTTGATGAGCATATATCTTTGAAACAACATCCGATTTTTCTTATTCCGATGTAGCAATGAACTCGAACAGATCATTTTGCTTGAATAGAGCAACGAAATATGTGATATCAATGAAATATCTTGTTCATTCTACATCAAGTTAAATTTTCGCCTCTAGATGGCGATCATTTCACCTCGTCTATGCCTGCCTCGAATTCATTATATACGTGAAACCTGATTCTTTGTGTTTGAATAAATATCACCTGGATTAATCGAACTTAGGATGATTAGCAATCCGAAATAGTTTTGCATCAGCAGAAGAGAAGTAAAGACTGTAGATATATGCTAGAAGTCGACTAGTTTCCTAGTTTATTTCATTCTATTGATGTGAAATTCCAAAAAATCCTGAATTAATTCTAATTTTGGTTCAACAAAACAATTTGTCGGATGCCAATACAGTTTCTGTTGATTCAACGAAATATTTCATTGAATCAACAAAATATTTCATTGAATTAACCAAATATTCCATTGAATCAACCAAATAATTCATTGAATCAACCAAATATTTCATTGAATTGACTAAATAATATTTGATTGAATCAATATTTTGTTATTTTGAAACAAACAAAATTATTGTTTGAGCCAATTCAATATCTATCTATCAGAGTTCATGCAAGACATATTTACTTAATTCAAACTTCAAATTCGCTCTGAAACAAGACATAGATTTACTCATTTCAAGACTATATTTTGTCGTACATATATGACACTTCGCTATTTTTTCTCGTAAGTCGTAAGAGATACAGGGTCTGTCGAAGAATGGCAAAGTTGCGCAATTTGATGCTGATCAATTTGGAAATTTCGAATACTTCCGAAGATATTTGAAAGAAGCCGAATATCCGCGATTTCATTTTTATTTTTTTCTGATTTTATTTGGAGTGATATATCAGAATGAATATCATATTAGGATTGCCACTTCTTCTGCTCCATCCAATGGCATAGATAGATTCATGATCAGACCTTTCGTCTTCGAGGAGCCATCATCAACATTGTTTTTTTTAAAAGTTCGAAAAACATTTTTCGTTACTAAAAAACTCTAATTCCAATTCTAAATCAAACGACATATTAGACTTTGCAATTATCCTACGTTTCGGACCAAGAAATCATTATCATTGTTATTTGATGATGTTTACGAGGAAACGAAACGTCGGAAGAAAAATCTGATGACGGCGTCTTGTATAGAAGGAAAAATGACTGCGAAAATGTCAAATCCATTTTGGTCTATCTCTCGGTATATCTCTATTTTAGTTTTTTTTTTTATCGATTGGAGCGCACGAAAGGGAATCCCTATAATGTTCAAAGCTATTCTGCAAGTTTCTAATTCTAAGAAATGATCGTTTTCTGATTTTACATACAATAGACATAGTGAAAGTGATATTGCAACAGTGATCTACTCACTTCGTAAAATATCACCTAATTTCGTATTGCAGTTATTGTTGTTATTATTAAGTCCTCCAGCGTCTGATCCCGCTGAAGACAGCCTTCCATTTCCAGATGAACTATCACTGTGGGCACTAGGTGAAGCACACATTGGACTTCCACTTGCTGAAAAAAATATCAATCTTCAGTAAAGGTATTATAGGTCATCTTAGTCGCTAATTTCATTTGGAATCTCTCAGTTTTGCACATAGAATTCGAAAATGTAATGAAGCACAGAGTTTTCTATCAAATAAAGTTTACATGACTGCATATTGAAAATATTGCATATAGCGCAACGACGATTTCAAAGATCTTGATTCCTGTTCTTGGAGAGCGCATTTTTGACAGTCAAATCAACTTAATGTCTTCATTTACCTAACACTAACAAATCCAACTTCAAAATTTCAATTAGAACTATTCTATTTCCAACATATCATTTCAAAGCCATCGTCTTTGAGAATTGGATGAGATTTGACAGAGCCAGAAAGATCACTTGATCTAAGCCATTCTAGCTTCTTCCGTGGGAAAATTTGGAATCAAGGGTGTAGGATTGCCGACTGATATATTCTGAATTATTATTTGCAAGTTAACGTGAGTCTTCTTCTTGACCAATACTACGAATACAATATATTTTTGGTTCTGTTGCAGCAGTTTTATTTTTGCTTAACTGATCGACACATCAGAAACAGTGCTGTGCTGTAGATGGAGAGTTAACGTCTGTTTGAAATGTGAACTCGAATATCAATATCACTTGATGAAATCTATCATAACAAAAAAAAGATCGAACTGGATACAACCAGAAATAATTTGGTGTTATAACTAAATAACAAAAGTTCGTTTTGTTATGTATCCAATATAATCACATATTATGTTCATGTACACATCCGATGTAAATGTCACTAAGGGATATTCCAAACGTTTTACGATTTTAGAAATAACATGACAGTCCGTGCAGAGATATTTGAGAAAATGTCTGGGAAATTTCATGAGTGTTCTGTACTACTTAGAACATCCGATAGATGTCCCTAAAGGAACGTATAAAATAATATTATATCAGGAACTTGCTAAAGATGTTCTTGCATGGACATTCTACAATATGTGCCATTTCTAGGACATTTGAAATTGTGTACCAGCTAGGACATTCCATAGACGTCCTTGCTTGGACATATTGAATGAGATGTACGGGATGAGACGTCCCAAGGACAATTATTTTAGGTCTGGGATATTCGGACGTGAATTGTATCAAATAGAGACATCTTTAGGACGTTGCATACTATTAGGGCTATTATATCATACCTGGTCCCATTCCAGTAAGTCCCAGGAGTCCGCTGCCAGATGCAGATGTAACCGCGGCCAAAATAGTTTCTCGTTCTCTTCTCTCAGCTGCTGCACGTGAAAGAACGTACTGAGCGGCGAACTGATGTTTCGGGTCCATTCTCATGTGCTCCATGTGAGTCAAAAGCCCTACAGAAAATTCGAATAAAACGTCAGAATTCAAACTGAAGAGTTTAAATTCATAAGCAGACAAACGACGGTGAATGATTCTAAGCATTTGAAGGCATAACAAAAATAACATCGCAGTAGAGCATGGAAAATTATTTGCTTTTGTATCGTGGTTCAATTTTATTAGTGACAGAGTAATGATGAAGGAATTGATTAGGTGGTCTTTATATTTTTTGAGATAGTAGCGATTTCATCCCATTGTCTAATGCGATCTTACATTTACTTTTTCCCAACAGTAACAGTCCACATATGCACACAAAATAATAATAAAAAAAAAAATAAATAAAAGGAGGTTCGCTGTTGGAGAAGTTTTTTATTCAAGAAAGCCTTTCACAATGAATAATTTGAATGCCTGTTACCGTTGATTACAGAGGGGATTCCGGCGTTAAAAAAAAACATATGTGAACGTACTGTTGAGAAGGTTATGATTATAAGAATATAGTGAATTATTAATACCTGATTCGTGAGTGAAAACGGCTTGACATACAGAACACGGCCACATTCTTAAGGAACTTGATAATTGTGATGTTTCGGGGTGACAAGCTAAATGTTTTCTCAAAGAGCCTTCGTTGACATAGTGTTTCCCGCAAACAGGACATGGATGATTGGCAGTTCTCCTTTTCGCTAAATAAGGATCGATGACGTCAACAGAGAGAGAAAAAAGATATAAAGCGAAGCACCCCAGGATCTTTATAAAAGCATTATATTATTAAATAATCTGTATCGATATAATATTTCAACTTCCAATCTCAAGGATATTTGAATATGGATAATAAAAAATGACAATATTTGCAGTGGATCTCAATATTATTATATCAATACGTTATTCTCAACAAATATTCGAGGTATCATGTAAAACTCTACTCTGAATATATAGTCGAGTGATGAAAATTTTAATTCATAAGGCATAATTACTCAACCACTATTAATAAGCTCAAACTGCGAAAATAAAAAAACATACAGATAGCATGTTTAAATGGGACAGGAAAACCCGCAAAGCTCCACAATAAAGCGAAATATTTGTTAGAAGACTTAGAAGTAGGTGACATTTTCCCCATTACACTTTTTTCTTCAATAATTTCTCCTATGAGATTCGAACGTTTTGTTCATGGATAAAGTATATTCGACTTTAATAATAAATCAATGTCATGATCCACTTAAAAATCAAAAGAGTTTTTCTACAGGATCGATTAAGCTCGAAAGCACTTTCTTTCCCCTCTGTTCTATTTATTTTCAGATTGTATTCGAATCAAGGCTTGCTTTCTTTTTATTTTCGATATCACTGGTTGTTTTGTAATTATTCAGATTCATAAGTTCTTGAAACAATGTACAACTGAACATTTATCTAGTGAATATAAATTTCGTTTTTCCATTGACTTGATAAGATACGATAATTTTCCCATCATATCCAGCACAAATAATAATTAAAGAAGCATGCAAATCAATGTGAAACATTCTCTCAACTACCAGTACATAAATACATCATATTATATGGAATATGAGGACAGATATAATACACAAATACACATGACAAGTTAGATGATGGTTCTACTACAAGCAAATTAAGTATTTTGTTCTGAGCTATGAATTCAGTACCTAAGAATACAACATGCAGTGAAAACATGCAAAACCCTTTTCCACGTAGCTCATGCAGAACCTCAAGTATCATTCAACAACATTAGATACTTACTTGCTACTCCTGAGGCGTTAGGATCTTTATGAGTATGTTTCATATGTTCCATCAGTGCTTCGCCTCCTAAGAACATTTTGTGGCACAATGGACAAGACGTTGCATTGGGTCCTCCAATCAAAGCTGCGTGTTGCTGCAAACGACCAATACACTGTTGACAAAACGGCGCATTAATTTGAAGTTTCATCAAACCAATGGAATTAGTCTTCGGCTGTATGGTGCATAGACGGCGCAACTGATGGCCATTATATTGGTTTGACTTCAACTTTCCAAAACTCTCTCTACACAAATGCAATCGACTACTGGAAGAAGACATAGCGAGCGTATGTTTGTGTCATAGGTAGGTTCATTCTGTATCGAATTGGTGCTCACGAACCTCCCACACTGAAAAGTAACTTTCATTCTTCAAATTATGCATTCATCCATCCCGTCCATTTTCACATATACTCCCTTTAGTGAGTTTAGGAAATGATATAGAGATAAAACAAACGAACTGCTAGCAGTTAAAATACCGAAAACGGAAAATTTGCATTCATCATATCAATCACACACAAACATTTAGCTACAAAATGAGTTGAAGAAACAATAGGCTTCAATAACTATAGGTTGCAACAATATTTGTAGAGTTTAATACCTCATTGATATATTCTCAAGAAAAAAAAGGGACCTGTAACTTATTATTACAGTAGAATGCTTTACATCAGTGGTGCTCAAACAGTCGATCGCGAGAGCATTTGAAATCGAACGAAAAAAATAAATAATAATCACTCCACCACAATGACATTGCATATGTTCAACTTTATACAAGTATAATTTACTTGCATTTATATATTATAATACATTGCAAGTCGTAGGTACTTTGCGAACGTTTGTGACCTTGATGTTTTGTGGTAGGTAGATCACACAAGCCCTAAAAGTCTGAGCATCCCTGCCTTACATCTTTTGAGCTGAGATATGGTAGACACACCCAACAATTGATTGAACCTATATACAGGGTGTTATCGAAATAAATACATATATTGAACACAGTCACTGCCACTCATATGGAAATTCTAGTCACTACCACACCCATATACAGTCTGTCCAAGATAAGGTTGCACAGCATGGGGATCTCGGAAACGGTAGGAGATACGAAGTCGGTTAAATGGGGAAAAAGTTGCGCATTCGGAGGCTCATACCAACAGCCTTCGAAAATTTTCAAAATTGTTTTCAGTTTTTCAGTTATATTGAAAAAGTGAATTTTTGGAATCTCTATTTTTTTTTCTCCGTTATTATTAGAAATACTTTTTCATAGCATCTTTCGATGACGTTTAACGTGGTGATACCAATTTTCCTATGCGACGTTTCGTATTCGTAGAACCATCATCAACTTTTGTTTTTTAAATACGGCCCTGACAATTCTTTCACAGATTCTGAAAGCTTTTTTTATTCTGAATTCAACCATGTATTATACAAGGTGGTTTGAATGTGTTTCGAACTATTTTTAGCCATCATCAATGTTTTTTTCGAAATTCCAAAGGAAAAATGCCATCCTACCGTTTCCGAGATCCCCATGCTGTGCAACCTTATCTTGGAAAGACTGTATATGAATTTGATGACACTGATATTTTGAATTTAGATTCAAATTATCTTGCTGAAGTTGTTCCTTCTTATAAATAATGGAGAGTTTAGTGTTGGGGTGTGAAACTAAGGGAAAAACTTCTGATCCTCAAGTTTTATTCCACTTTTGGCCCTCAAGTTTTCACTTCACTTTTGGGTATTCTAGTGCCCCTGTCCAGTATGTATGTTGAGCTTTCGAGCTTGTGTAAAACTTCTGATTATCAAGTTTTATTCCAATTTTGGCCCTCAAGTTTTCATTCCACTTTTGGCTATTCTATAGTGTCTGTGTCTAGTATGTATGTTGAGCTTTCAAGCTTGTGTGTAATGGAATGCTTGTGCATGGGGTGAGTTGAATGTTTTACATTATCTATCCTAATGTCGGTTAGGTTCTCTGAAGGTTCCTTTCGAAGGATTGTGGTGGAGACTAGCTGTTGCTTTTTAGTAATTAGTATAGTTTCTTTGATTTTCCTTTTTTTATTTCAGTGATTTTCGACTGTTTTCAACGTACTTTCATGTATCGTGTGACTTCCCATCCTCAACAAGAACTATTAATTTTTTTATCTCTTGGGGCGCACGAAAGGGAATCCCTACAATGTTTGGAGAACATCGAGCGACCTATAGGAAGGATAGGGAAAGGAGGTAGGTATTGGAATTTTTTTGAATTATCGAAGATAATAATAAGCTCTAGTTATTACTTCTGTTGGCAAATAATTCCAGAGCTTTGCCGTTCTATATATACAAACGAGTTCTGGTAAAGAGTTGTTCGACATCTCAACTTTGACGACGAAAGGATGTGCTGACTGGGCTTGTAGAGTTAGTATGACTATCAGCAGATAACAGAAAGTTCTGAAGAACATTTTCCGTGGAAGTATCTTTAGGAGAGTGAAAGGTGGTAGACTTTTCTATATACGGTGTTCCAATGATGTCTTGATCACTTCGTCATCGATTTTCGTGTTCTCATGACATTTTTCCTTCTGAATGTATATTTGGTGATAAGATCCGATTCAAAACTCATTCAAAGTGATTCATCGCAGATTCAGAAAACATCCACCTTCTAGCAACTCAAAATTTATTTGCTATCTGACCATTTTTGTGAACTATGATGGCAACGTCGCTTCGTTCTTAGAGATTATCTATGAGCGACTAGCTCTCGATGAGTAGAATTGTGAGTGGAAAAAGGGGCTTGCCCAAAATTTCATTTTGATCGCATCATTTTGCCTCTTGATAACGAGCCTTCTTAGGGTTCAAATTCAAATTTGATGTATATATTTCGATAATACCCTGTATAGTAAACTTGTAATGAATCTAACTGTGCATTTATTATACCTATCTATAGAAATGAAAAAAATTATACGAATATTGTTACGGGCTGCATAATGAATGAAAAAATCGCAAGAATATAACTAATATTCTGGCCTCATATATATACTCATAATTGAATTCGACCATACTTATTATTCTGAACCAGATCATCATGTATCGAATATACCAAAAAAATCATGAGGCAGGCAATGACTGCATGTTTTTCAGTTTTCAATAATCAATATGGTTCTCAATAATCTCGACCATAAAAAACCAACAATAATCCAAATCGATAAAATTCATTCGTATTACCATATTGCGTTCGACTGCGTGAAATGCAAAATAATCCTGATAAATAATTCATTTTTATTCATTTAACCCATACCAAGTGTTTATCTGAACATGAACTGAATTGAAATATGTTGAGAAGGATAAAGCACCTGAACAATAATTATTATTAAAACATGCTGTGAATGAATTGCACCTAAATTGATTATTCTGAAGTGGTATAGGAATATTCATTTCAATCGACGTTCTTTTTCCATTTCACAAAATTCGGACGGATGATACTTTCAGATGGTCCAGTCAAATAAATAATAGGTTAATTTCATTATGTTGCATACGATCATTATTGAGAGGAGCAGAGCAAAATATTTCATCGTCAAGAATATTTCCATTGTTTTATTCAATATCTCAAAAAATTACTTGGTTTGAAAACTGGAGATCAAGACATGTTCAAAATGTTGAATCTGGAGTTATAATGCTAGAGCTGCTGTAGAGAATTATTGCTACAGCGACTCCTAGTACCACTATTACTTGAGCTGTCGCTAGAGCTGTCGCTAGAGCTATCGCTAGAGCTGTCGCTAGAGCTGTCGCTAGAGCTGTCGCTAGAGCTGTCGCTAGATCTGTCGCTAGAGCTGTCGCTAGAGCTATCGCTAGAGCTATCGCTAGAGCAATCGCTAGAGCTATCGGTAGAGCTATCGCTAGAGCTATCTAGCTGACGTATGTTTTATATTTTTTGCGTCTAACGTTGTCCTCAAAATTAAAATTTGTATGTTTCGTTATTTTCTTGTCAAACCATTTTTTTGAGAGTTAACGAGCATGGATAGTTTTAAGTGGACCTCCCGGTATACATAATATATAGATGGATTGTTAAGAGAACTATTCTAATTGCTTAAGCTTTATTGTTTTTCTCTATGTCAGAAGAACCCAGATGTATCTATTATCATACCGAATTACCGATATCAAATATTATTGAGCATTGAAATTACTACTTTTATTCACAACTATATATGTAATCTTGTCATTACTAACGTCATTGAAGGCTGGAAAGTTCACATTACGCACCTCTACTTCCCGACCTCACTTATGTAATATCTAAGGTATGTTCAGAACGAAACAGAAATTTATAAATTTTGATAGAAATATGATGGTTGTAAATAAAACTAACTAATCTCACGACAGGAATGAATCTCTATTCACCTCGGTGTGTAATATACTATTCCACTTCCCGTAAACGAACTTATTCTGCAGGTTTTCTGAAAGAAGGGAACGAAAATTGGCCTGAAAATTGTGACTGAAAAAATTCGACTAATGCTGAATACATATTCTTCGTTTAATTTCACATCAACTTTCGCAGAGCAGAGGGGTAATCTGGAAGCAAAAATCTAGTATAAAAATCGAGAAAACGAATTCGAAATGTGATGAAGAATATGCGGCAATTACTGTAGTCTGGATGAGCTTCGAAGGTAAAACAAGTATAAGCTACCCTTTTTTAACATCAAAATTAAGAGGAAAAGAGCAAAAGGTTAATTACTGAGTCATCATAATTATTGTGAGCTTGATGCATATAAATCTTCAATTAAAAACGACTTAAATTATCGTTAAAAGGTTGCTAATTTTGAGAAACAGACTATAAAATGTATTTCTATTTCAGGTCATATGATCTGTGCGATACAAATGATTAATCTTATATGAGATATTATAAAAACGTTGATGGTATATGTACTTAGATGGTTTGGTAAAAGTGGAATAGTAGTACTCGTATATGAAGGATGGAAAAAACCCAAAATCATCTACACGACAATTCAATATTAGTGATTGAATAATAGCACCATGTTTAGGACGATCCGCCAATCAAAATGTGCAAAAGTTGCTTGATTTCAGCTACAACTTTGTTTTTAATTTATTTTCATGGATTATTTGACAAAAACTGTGGAGGCATTTACTGTTGAGATGGATAGTGATTCGCTATTTCAATGATGTTATTTTTAAGGGTCAGGGTAAGCGCTCTTTCGGAACTTATAACCTCCAAAAGTTAAAAATAAAAATCCAACACGTATGTTGAATGACGCACGATGTTCTTCAAACAATATAGAAATTTCCTTTCGTGCGCTCCAAGAGACCAAAAAAGCACTTGAATAATCTTGAATCCTTAGTATAACGTATAGGGTACAATATCTCTTTGAAAATTCAAATGTGAATGAGAGGAGATTATCCTTCTAAACATCCTTGAGTTTGTATGGCGTTCTTCATAATATAACTATAAATTAGATCATATGATTTTGTTCTTAGTTATATATTTATAATAATTGTTCAGAGACTTTATCATTCCATTTATTGGAACCACTAGTAAATATTCCTTTATGAAGGGAAGTTATACATAAATAGTTTATCTAAATTAAAAACTCAGTATGCAAAACTGTTTCTTGTCACGAGACATCCAACTCCCGATTTTTAATTTAGCTTTCATAACAAAATAAAAGAGTATTCCCACTTTTCTTGGTAACATGACACAAAATTATTTCTACAGTCATTATTCGGTGAGAAAAGCACACCTGCTGGTATCTGTAGAAGAATAAGGAATAAGATTAAAAATTCTCCGAATAGAACTGAATCCCTTTTTCAGGAAAAAGTTTCCCACGCAAGTAGTCAATTTCTTTTCGTATCTCTCCTCCTGAAAGAATTATTCTTTTCAATAATTTACTGCCTTGGAAGTGGACAACTGGTAATTTGGTATTACAATGACAATGTGAATCATTGATTGCAATAATTCATGTGCAGGATGTTTTTAGTGTAAGTAATTCTTATAGGAGGATAAGACGATATCCTAGGCAGAATAAAAATTGAAAAAAAAATGTATCTCCCATTTCGCAGTAGTTTTTTTGGTATCTCAGATACCGATGATACATATCACAAATTCTAAGGATATATGCTTGGCAATTGTATCTTGCATCATTATCGAAGATTTTTTTATCGCTTGGAGCGCACGAAAGAAAATCCCTATAATGTTCAAAGAACATCGTGCGTTCCTATAGGGAGGATAGGGACAGGAGGTAGGAATTGGATTTTTTTTGAACTTCTGGAGATTATATGTTGTTGGGAATACTTCCTCAGGCAATGAATTCCAGAGCCTAGCCGGATGAAGGAGTTTTGATGAAGTGCTGTTCGACATCTTTCGAGGTTGACATCGAAAGGATGTGCTGACTGGGCTTGTCTAGTTCGTCTGACTGGTATTGCTAGTGAAGGGATGATAGCAGAGATTTCCGAAGAACATTTCCCGTGGAAGTATCGATAGAAAAGTGATTTCGAAAACATATAAAAAACAGTGTGTTCCATTTGAAGAAATCAATGGTTGATGACGTATTTAAGAATCAGCCAGTGAAGCTCATTCTGCATGATAAGGGTCATGAACAGGCATAATTGTTTTATTTTCTCTCGGTGAAAAATAATGTGCAGCCAGCAAATCACTATATGCACTGACAGCCAGGCGGCGATCAAGGCGCTCACCTCGTATAGGGTGACCTCCGCCTTGGTGTCAGAGTGCATAGATAGCCTACAAAGGCTGTCAGCAACGAATAAGGTATGTCTTTTGTGGGTCCCTGGACACTCAGGGGTACCAGGTAACGAAATGGCCGATGGTCTGGCCAGAAAGGGGGCGAAAGGTTCAGTGATTGGCCCAGAGCCAATCTTAGGGGTCACTCGATCCTGGAGCAACTCCAAGATGAAGGAAATCCTGACGGAAAAGGTTCAGGGCAGCTGGAGAAAGGCTCCTCGAATGAGGCAGTCCAAACTCCATATAGGAAACCCGTCACGAAGACAGACCAATGCCCTCTTGGCTTTGAACAGGAAGGAGCTGAAACTGGTGGTGGGCCTGCTGACAGGGCACTGCCACCTGAACAAACATCTCAGCATGATCGGGATTGTGGAGGATCCAGAATGCAGATGGTGCCTAGAGGATGAAGAGACTTCTACTCACATCCTCACTGAATGCCCGGCAATAGTGGCAGCAAGGGATATCCATTTTGGGAGCAGTATCCTGGACCCAGAGGATGTTAAAAAGATTTGGCCTAGGAAGTTGGTCTCTTTTGCTCGCGAGATCGGCCTTCTCCATGGCTGACTTTGCGATCCCAGGAATGTGGGTGCACAATGGGCCCGAAAAGGGAGGCCTAAGTGCGTCAGGTCCCGGACCGCCCACACACACACACACACATACATACATACATAAATAATGTGAATATATAGGAGAGGATGTATGTTAAAAAGTAGGTACCTTTCATGTGACAAACACAAAAATTAACTCAGTAGTTTACGAAATCTTATATACAGTATGATGCAAATGTATGGAATAAATTCATTTCAAAACAAGACGACTTTCGAAAAAAAAAACAAAAACTAGAGTTTAGAACTATTTTTTCGACGTATTTTTTTAACTAGACGACCCTTCGATGTTCAATTCTCAGTAGCAGACCTCTGCAAGATTCAATTAATCACATGATAATCCATTTTAATTTCAATCTTCTTATGCAACATTTTGACTGTTGAATAGACGATCGGTAGAAATTTCAATCAAGGTGTCACATGACCCCTATTTGTATTTGAAAAAATCGTCCATTACGCCTTTACTCCAACACCGGTGACGTAACATTTCTCATATGAATATCATGAGATGAGGCTTCAGAAATTAAAACTCACGTGTTTTTGGAATTTTTTCAAATGTCGCCCATTTCTGAAATAATGAATTTATTCCATACATTTGCATCATACTGTATATATAGGTTTCTTTACCATCGTCCATGCCTTGGCTAACTATAGCTATATTTTCCTTTTTTTTATTTTTTACCAAGATAGCTAAACTCAGTAACAGCTAAGTGAATAATTCGGGATACGGTGTTTTTGATACTTTATCACGTGACGAATTTAGGAAATTGTTTTTTTAGTAGTGCTAAGGTCACTTCGTTTTACTTTTTTCATGGGTATTTCAGTAAAAGGGTCGTTAACGTCTTTACGATGGGTACAAAATATATAAAGTGGCCCTTTCGAAACGAAACAGAGGATCTGAATGTCGCCAAAGCCGGATTATGAAAAAATCTGTAACACGTCAACTATATTTTTGAGGGGGCCATCGTTCTAAAACATTTTCAGCCCTGCGGCGTTGTCGCTTCTAACGAAAAGAAGCAACAACTTTGTTATTTCAATGGAACACATTGAATTTCATTGCATTTTTAGATTCTTTCCGAAGAACTAATTTAATCAATGCATCACACTTCGGGTCTAGCTGGAATGATTTCAGAGATATAGGGTGTTCAAAATCGAGATTTTTCAACTTGAGCATTTTTTTGTGTAGAAACTATTCTTCTGGTCAAAACGGCTTGCATGTCCCTATCTCAACTTTTGATTCACTATCTACTGACATTTAATTGGAACAGATACAGGGTTATCAGAATTCTGAATCTTGAACAACTCTGTCTTTGTTTCGAATAAATGTCAGTAGATAGTGAATTGAAAGTTGAGATAGGGTTATATGAGCCGCTTTGACCAATGATGAATAGTTTCGACACAAAAAATCCTAAAGTTGAATAATATCGATTTTGAACACCCTATAGCTCTGTAATCATTGCCGCTAGATCTCAAGTGTGATGCATTGATGGAATCAGCTCTT